TCAGACCTATGTAAAATAAAAATGAAAAAACAGAGTCATTATTAAACCAGCTTCATTATTTAAAACATTTAAAGTAGTGCCAGTCATTCAGCTATGGTGAAACTCACTTTCAATTAAGCATTTTAAAAGCACAATGGTTTGTTAAGAGCTTGGAAAAGAGAGCAAAGGGAACAAGTGCCTTGGCCACATTCATTGTTTGAAATGTTACAATACTTTGTCAAATGAATTTCTACTCCAGTTCCATGTACCTCTTGGAAAAAGATGCCTATCTTTTTCACATGAAGACTTGATTTGGGAAACTTCAGAAAATGCTTTTGTGAAGACTCGAAGCTTCTGAAAAGAGCAGGAAAGCATACCCCATTCTTGTGCACTTTTGGGGGGTTACAGAGGCTGTGCAAGAGCAATGAGCCTTGTGCACAACTTCCAGAGGGTCTAGAGGCCATGTGAAAGTACAGCCTTAGAAAACTGAGTAAAAACAGGGCATCTTGGTGGCAGCAAAAATAACAGGGATTCAGCCGGTTTGCACCAGTTCGGCAGAACCGGTAGCTACTTTTTTGTTGCCTAGGCCCATAACAGACTTCTGGAAGCAACATCCATATAGAGAACTGGCTGTTCACATATTTGAATCCCACCACTGGGCATGTCCGTTGTGACACACGTGTTACACGTTTGCCATCCCTGCTCTAAAGATACAGGAAGAATAGAACAGAATGGCTGCTATCTTGAGCAAACAATCCCTACAACCCTTTGTGCAAGTCCAGCACATTTAAAATTATATCATATTATTAAACCAAAGAATTCTTTTGGATTGCTTTCAAAACAATCCAAAATGAAAACAATATATATTCATTCACCCTGTAAGTATTCATGCAGCATAAGGAAATCCACTAACTGTAGGTTGGTAGCATAAAGGAACCTTTATCACTACATAGTTTTCTAATATCAACAAATATCTGTAAAAATAATATACCTACTATTAAAAGTCTAATGTCTGTTTGAAGGTTGTTTAATTTTGTAACCTTCATGGTGCAAAATGGTGCATCATAGGGAAGTAATTTTTGAAAAAATGTGCCTCAAATGAACTAATTGAAAGAATGTATCCAAAATATGGGACGCAGGACTCTCGTGGCATTGAAATTTGGCAAAATTGTGTCTGTTTCAATACTGCAACACTGCCACAGTCACATGATCACCGTTTCCAATGCCCCCTGTCAGCTTCCTACAAGGAAAGTCAGTGAGAAAGCTGGCAGGAAGCTGAAGTTGCTCCTGTTCCCACTGTTTTTTGCCCACCCATGGTCATTCTGTTTCCCTGTTTTGGTAAGGAAATGTCTCTGAAATGATGACACAGCAGGTCATGGATTGTCTAGTATTATTTAAATGACTGAATTCTTTCTGCAAATCTAAATTTTGCTGCATCATCAGTTGCACAAACTATAACCCCTCTTTTTATGAATGCATTTCTACACATGGTTGCACTGCATTACAGGTGTATTTAATAGAAGTTATACAATTATTTTGACACAGCACTGTGCACTGTTTGCTAGCTTAAATCTACAACTAAATGTAATGGTCTCCAGTCTTGCCAGCCTTGTGTCTATACCTTTGAATTATGTTCCTTTTCTATTCTACAGCTGAAAATATTTAAACTATATGGGATAATAAAAAGAATTTGACAGTTTTAGTTAAAATTTGGTTAGTTAACACTCATGAATAAAGATGGATTGGTAATTATTACCAATGCTTTAGTATACTGCACATATATGATCCATGAAAAGCAGTTGCTTGTAAAATAATATTGAAAAAAGAGTAAGATGGATGAGTATTATAGTATTTTAAACACTGGCACAGAAAGGAATGATTACAAGAGAAGCCAGAAAAATATGGCTGTTCTTGAGAAAAATACTATTAGCTCCATGTCTTTATTTGAACTGATGCAAACACATAAATAACTTTGAATTACTATTAGGCAATAGGTAATAACAAAACATAACGTCATTTTTAAACACTTGTAGAACTATACAGGTTCTTTTCAGAAAATGCTCAGAAAGCTAACAAAACAACCTTATAACTTATATCAATGTTTATCAATCTCAGCAACTTTAAGATGAATAGACTTTAACACCAAGAATTCCCCAGCCAGGATGCTGGCTGAAGAATTCTAGAAGTTGAAGTCCATACATTCTGAAGTTGTTGAGTTTGAGAAACACTGACTTATATGTTCAATTAGGATGGAGTACTACTGGGCAAACTATACAGAATTTTTGCATGCTAGCATGGTTTTGCATAGGAGAAAGTCCATCTGTTTTTTTCCACAGTAAGTACTTGACTTCCATCTATCCTCCTTGACATCCTTCAAACTGCAGCTCTTTGTGTCATATTCTGTACTATGCCAAAACATCTTCAATCCTGCAGAACCCATTTTTATTAATGTATTAAGTTATTAATTTGTGAGTAGACAAATTAATAACAATCCCAGCTATATATCTATCATAAATGAAAGTAAATAAATAGATTCATTAGTTTTTAGCAACTAATAGCTTGAATTTGGTTAAAACTGTTCATCATCAAGGAAAACATTAAGTGTCACACCATTAAAGACTTTTTTCCCCTTAGAGATTTTCAGAGTTTTTGAAAAAAGTGTATAATCATCTAATTTTCATGGTATATTGCTGATGCAATTGAACTTAATGAACAATCTTCACCTGAAGCTACATAGAATGATAAAACTACTGATTAGCCAGATCTGACTGAGATACAGAAGTTAAAGGTCAACATCTATGAATTGAAGACAAGGTTTGATCTGGTAAGTGCTTAAAGGAAAAACTATTGAGAAACTCTATATATGTTACCTGAAGACATAAATAGAATTAGTCAGATTTTTATTCTCAGTATAATCCTGCTGTAAACGTTGTTTGTTTAAAAAGAGTTCCTAATTTTCTGTTTGTGGCATTTATAATATTAGCCACATTCTGCTATGGGAATTGAAAAACTGAACTAGTGAAACTGATATGTTTTTCATCTGATTATTCATTCTTCTTTAGAATAAAATTTAGAAAAAATTGTAAGAAGTTAATACAGGAAGCTTGTAATACACTATTTTAAGGACCAATAATAGCTGATGTAAATATTTTATGATTCATTTAAAGGTTAATGTTGTACGCAAGTCATTATATTTGTAGCAGTGTGTATATAAAATCTCCAACTATATTCAACTGTGATTTCACTGGAATGTGTTTCCAAATTAAGAAAGCTTTAAAAAATCAGTACAAATTTATATCTCAAATGCCCTAGCTACTGAAATTGCCTATACATAAACCCAGATATCTATTTATAGGTAACCCCCACTGGATTCAGTGGGATTACCTAACAAAAAATACATGTAAAATTGCATCTTTAAGTAGTCAACAGTGGAAGCAGCTTGATGCTAACATTGTGTAACACACACAATGAGAAGTGCATCCTATTCCTGTGGGAAAAGCTGGTCTCCTATGAACCTGTCCCTTTGATAAAATTCTAAAAAAAAAAGACAAGGACTTTCTGACTCAAGAATGTACATCATCCAGGAAGTGTCCTGATTTGGCCTGCAGAACTCAAGACTGAGACCCTAATCCTTTCCTCAAAAGCTACTGTACAGAAAGATTTGGAAATGAATTGCTCCCCAAATCCTCCTGCATAGAGACGTTTTCTTTATAAAGGTAAAGCACCCCTTGCCAAAGGGAGAAAGGGACTCCAGAAACCACAACAGCATAATTGTATCTCTTTTTGTATACATTTACACACAAACACACAAAAATGTAACCCTTTCTCTTTTCAGAGGAAAGAGAGGAGTAATTGCTTCCTCCTCCTTGTCCACAGCAGATGCATAGAAAAATAGGGGATGTCCTAAAGCAGGGGTGTCAAACTGCCAGCCCATGGGCCGGTTTCATCATACTGAAGCCGTGCCCACCCCATTGCTGGCAATGCAAAGAGTCCCAATACGTCACAACATGTCACGTGACATGGCGAGTTTGTCACCCGTGTCCTAAAGCAAGGTTTCTCAACCTTGGCAACTTTAAGATGTGTGGACTTCAACTTCCAGAATTCCTCAATCACATCTTAAAGTGTTGAGAAAGGGGCGTTGTCTTACCTGAACGCCTTTTCTCAGCATGATGATGGAGAACCCACGGATGGGTTGTCTTAATCTATCTGCTCCAATTAGACTAAGTCTGAAATTTAGTACCGCCCCCTCTGTGCCAACTGCACCCCAGTTTTAGGCTAAGGCGATACTCAGACTTTAGTCCGACGCGTCTGAACAATATGGGAACCAGGCCAACTGACCTAATGGGAGGGAGTGGATTCTCCATCATCATGCTGAGAAAAGGCGTTCAGGTAAGACAACGCCCCTTTCTCCAGCATGATTGGATGGAGAACCCACGGATGGGACATACCAAAGCCCTGTGTCCCTAGGGTGGGGAATTAGATTGGGCCTGGGTCCCATCCAACGTTAATGCGTGTTCTAGAACCTTGCGGCCAAATGAAGCCGTAGAAGATGCATATACATCCCTCTTGTAGTGACAGACAAAGGAAGAGGGCGATGCCCATGTTGCTGCTCTACAAATTCCCTCTACGGAGGCCTGAGTAGACCAGGCAGCTGTAGTAGCTGCGCCCTGGTTGAATGGGCCGTGATATGCCTGGGATTTCGCAGTGACTGAGACTGGTATGCCAGAGAAATACAAACTCTAATCCACCTGCGTATTGTGGTTGAAGAAACCTTCTGACCTAGTGATGAAGGGTGATAGGACACAAACAGAGCCTCTGTTCTGTGGAAAGATGAAGTTCTCTGTATATAACAATATAAGCCCTGCGCACATCCAATTTGTTCCACTGAACCATTATGTCATTAGATGGGTTAGGACAGAAGTCCGGCAAAACTATTTCCTGAGATCTAGGATACAAGGACTTGACCTTAGGCACAAAGGAGGGGCCTAGCCTAAGGGTTACCCTGTCCTTATGGAACGTACACAGGTCCTTCCTCACTGAAGAGTAGCCAGTTCAGATATCCTTCTCGCTGAAGTTACAGCAACAGGAAATTCCACCTTCATCGATAACTGTTTAAACAAATCAGTGTCAATAGTTCAAAGGGTGCGAAACAAGAGCCTATAAACCTGATGAAGATCCCACGAGGGATATCTATGTACAGTTGATGGTCTGACGTTGTTAGCTCCTTTTAGGAAGGAGCGTATCATAGGGTAATGTGTTAAGGATTCATTGCCACAGGAAATAACTGTGGCAAGTGCTGCTACCTGCCTCGGATGGTGCTTGTGGAAAGCCCTTTGTCTAGACCATCCCTCAGGAACTCCAAGATAACTGGCATTGAAACCGCCAAAAGGTCAATTTTTCGAACTGAACACCAATTACAGGAGTCTCTCCATGTGGCATCGTATATTCTATTCGTCGAGGGTCGCCTGGATTGCTGAATCATAGCTATGACCCTTGACGAATATGAGTCTCAGCCTAAGGCCTGCCTCTCAAGTGCCAGATGGTTAACTGGAGTCATTGAGGGTCTGGATGGCGTAGTTCCCCCTGAATGTGGGAGATGCGATTTGCTGAGATCCTCCATGGAGATGATGTGGAGAGCTCCATCAGGTCGGCGACCAAGAGCGTCTCGGCCAATGCGGTGCAACCAGGAGGACCTCTGCTCGTTCGCGAAGGATCTTTCTGATTGTGGCAGGAAGAAACGGCAGAGGAGGGAAGGCATAGAGCAGTTCCCTGGGCCAGGGATTGCGAAGCGCATCTGTTCCCTCCGCTGATGGAGGTGGGAACCCGGAAAGGAATCTGGGAAGTTGTGAGTTGGTGGGGGAGGCAAAAGGTCTAAGGTTGGGGAACCAAACCTGTCCACGATCTCTCTGAACACCTTCGGATCCAGCTGCCATTCGGAATGGTCCATGGTTGCTCAGTTCAGTGAGTCCGCCTGCTGGTTGGTCACTCCGGATATGTGCTCCGCCCTGATGGAGGCAAGATTCAGTTCCGCCCAGGACCCCAGCAATTTGGCCTCCTGCATGAGAGGCCTGGACCTTGTCCCCCCTTGTCTGTTGACGTGGGCCTTGGCTGTAATGTTGTCGGTTAAAATCAGGACATGTTGGCCCTGTACTATATCGGTTAATCCCTTTAGGGCCATATGTATGGCTGTGAGTTCCAGCCAGTTTATATTGTTCTTTAGATCCTGTTTGGACCACCGACCTTGAGCCCAGTGTGTGTGGAGGTGTGCCCCCCACCCAAACAGGCTTGCATCTGGGGTAATGGTAATCCTGTCTGGTTCTAATACTGCTCCCCGTGACAGCGCCGGGGAGTCCCACCATTGAAGGGAGTTCAAGTCTCTGAAATGGAAGGAGAAGCCATGTAATTCTCTGGCGTGGAGGCGTGCCCAGGGCACAATTTGCATGCAGGACACCGTCTTCCCCAGTAGTTGTGATAGGGAGGCCAATGTGACTACTCTGGCCCTTTGGATCCGACGTACAAGAGTCTGAATAGAGTTCCTTCTGTCCTGAAATAGGTAGACCGTACAATTGTCCATGTCTATAACAGCGCCCAAATGGAGGAGCCGGGTTGTTGTATGACTTTTCTGGAAATTAACAGAAAACCCGTGCTCCTGAAAGACCTTGATGGCTAGGGCGAGGTCTGACTGAGCGTTTCGGAATGATGATGACTGAATTAGTATGTCATCTAAATAGCATTGAATTCTGATTGGAATTTGTCTAAGGTGGGCTGCGAGCACTGCCAGTACCTTGTAAATACCCTCGGTGTCGATGAGAGGCCAAATGGTAGGGTTCTGTACTGGTAGTGGGCATAGCTGAATCTGAGGAATTTGCGGTGGTTAGGAAACATGTCTCAGTTAGGTCTATTGAGGTAAGAAAGTCACCTTGCCTGATGCTGGCCAGGATTGATTGAAGTGGTTGCATCTTAAACTTCTTATACCTCAAGTAAGGTTTAGACCTTTCAAGTCTAAGATTGCCCTCCAGCCCCCCAAGTCTTAGGGATGACGAAGAGGTTTGAGTAAAACCTTCGTCCTTCTTGGTCTTGTGTACTGGTTCAATTGCTCGTATTTGTAATAAATGAGCTATGGCCTCTGACATAAAGTCAGCCCTGGACCTGCTCGTTGGGATAGGGCAAGAGTGGAATTTGTCAGGTGGTTGAGAACAAAATTCTAGTCTCAAACCTTGCGTGACAGTGTCTAACCCCATGCATCTGTAGTGATGGCTGTCCAAGTGCTGGAATAAGGGGCCAGCCGGCATCTGTAGTGGTGACTGCCCAAGTGCTGGAATAAGGGGCCAGCTGGCTTCCTATGGGAAGTGAGACTGTGAGATCACTTGCCTCGTTTAGAGGAACGGCCCCTCGGCCTTGAAGGGGCCGCTTGGCCTGGATCTGTGGTCTGCTTCTGCATTCTAAACGATCCTGCTGTTGTTCTTGTCTCTGAAAGGAATAGAGGGATGCCTGGGCCCAGTCCCAGGATGGAGCTGGTCGAAAGGCAGCCTCCTGTAACTGCTCTGTGACATGAGTTAACCAGAGTTTTAGGTTTGTCCTTACCTTCAGTTAAGTATGATTCTAGTGCCTTACCAAAGAGATGTCCACCTGTGTAAGGTTTAGAGGCCAGACGCCACTTGGTCTTGGTGTCTGCTCGCCAATTCCTGGGCCAAAGGAGCCTTCGTGCTGAGATGTCTGCAGCGATGGTCTGGCAGTGTATCTAGCCATGTGCAGAGAAGCGTCGGCTAGGTACTGGGATGTAGCCACTAACTTACCCAGATTTTGGTGAGCTCTGAGCTGGTTGGAGGGATCCTGTCCTGGAGCTCACGTAACCCAAGGGCTGAAGCCCTGGCGAAGAAGGCCATGGACGTTGCCGCCTTTGTTGCCCAGGCTGATGCCAGATGGGAACTACGCAATGCGGAGTCAATCTTTTTATCCTCCGCCCTAAGTGCCTCATTTATGTCCCCAGGGATGTTAGCATTGGGAAACAATGAGTTCAAGGCTCATCAATCTCAGGAATCTCCAATAGGGAGGCCAGAGAACGGGCAACATTGAATAATGTTCCCTCTACTGCACCGGGGCTTAAGAAGGATCCTAAGTTCTCCCATTGTTCTTGAACTATATTCAGAAAAAGGGGAGGGCAGGGAATATTGTTCTGCGAGACTGAGGGCTTGGTGTATATGGCGTGGGGACCCTTGGACGTTGTAGGTGGGGTCTCCTGTTCTTGGGGGAGGTTTGCAGTAGTGCAGGCCCTGAGTAGCAGGGAATTAAAGAATGAATGGTCAAAGAGACCGACAGGAGGGGTGGGGTCAGAGGGAGTGATGCCCTCGTCCTCAAACAAAATCAGGCCAGATTGTTCAGCCCCTGTAGATTCCAAATCCGATGAGGGATCCTCCATCAAATCTGGAGATTGTGGATGATACGTGGCCTGGGGGGGTGGCTGTGGGGTGTTGGAGGCCATAAACTGAGCCACAGCCTGGGCTATCGTGGACTGAAGGAGGTCCGGGTTCAAGGCCTGGTTCTCAGGAGGGCGAAGCCCTGCTGCAGTGGGGGTGAACGTGGCCTGGGGTCCTGGGGTGTCCTGGTTGGTTGTGCCCCTCCCTGGGTCCACTCTTGTGGTTAAATCTAATTGGGGAATTCCCCTGGGGGAAGACCAGGCCCCTGGGGCTGAGGCACAATGTGAGGAAAGGGGTTCAAAAATGGACCTTCCCATCGTGCCTGTCAGATCTGGGGAGGCCGCTCTCAGTCTTTGGGACTCCTCCTCCCTCTGTGGCTCCCTGCTTGGCCGGGCTCGCTTGGTGGTGTTCTTTCCACTTGCCTCTGTTTGGCATTTCCTCTTGGCCGCTCGCTGATTTTCTCTGCCATGATGAGTTGCTCTGGGCTCAACCTTGGCAAAACACCCCCCCTCGGCGCTGTAACTCACCAAGGGAGCCTGCAGAGATGATTCAGCCCTTGAGGGGGGTGGGCGGGGAATTAATGGGCACCGCGTCCCTTGGGAGCGAACAGGCCCTCCCCGGTTCAACGCTGTAGTCTCGAAGCCTCTGTCACCGGTGATGAACACTGCCTTCAGGAGAAACTCCAGGCAGTCTGGGCCTCAGTCACACACAAAATGGCCGCCGTGAGTCAATTCAAAATGGCGGCCGCAGAGTTCGCGCCAAAAAAATGGCAGTTAGAAGAAGGCCTTGAGGCCTGAGGCCTAAGCTGCGATGAGCCCTCGTTCCGAGGAATCGCTTGGGCTCCTAACGCAGCGAATGGATTCCAAAAAAAAAGGCCATTAGAAGAAGAAGGCCTTGAGGCCTGTGGCCTAAGCTGCAATGAGCCCTCGTTCCGAGGAATCGCTTGGGCTCCTAACGCAGCGAATGGATTACAATTAGGTGAGCTGAGAGAGGCTGAGGCAGGCCGAGGCCTAGTAAGGCCTCCAGGCTCTGAAAATTGGATCGGTGCCAAAACTTTCTCCTGCTGCTGGGGCGGTCTGCTGAGGCCGAGGGACCTAGAAAAGGCTCCCTCCAGGCCTGATGAGCCTCGTCGTCCCTTGCGGAGCCCCCCAGTCAATTGGCAAGCTTACCCCTGCCTCTAAGGCCTCCAGGCTCTGGTTAGAAGAATGGAGCCTCTGATGCAGAGGAACGGCCCCTGGTAGGAGATTTCTCTTGCTTCTGGGAATCCAATTTTCAAGCTGATTGTGAAGCTGAAAGGCTCTCAAAGGGAGAAAGGGAAAGTTCCCCCCCCCCAAAGGGAGGTTTTGTCAGCCTGTCAGCCTGCTAGGCTACAGGTTGGGATGAAATAAAATAGGAATACACAGTCTTCTGCTCCAGGAGCGAAGAAAAAACGCGTCTTAGAGCAAAGAGACTAAGTCTAAAACTGGGGTGCAGTTGGCACAGAGGGGGCGGTACTAAATTTCAGACTTAGTCTAATTGGAGCAGATAGAGTAAGACAACCCATCCGTGGGTTCTCCATCCAATCATGCTGGAGAAACACTGTTCTAAAGAAATGGCAAAGAATCACTGATGCCACATATTCTATATTCTGATATGTCCTGGCCCTTTGGGGAGGGGGGCAT